CTATATAAACAGGGTTGCCTATAATTTCTTTTTTTTTTTTCCTGACAGATCTTTTATATCTTTAACGCCAGAACAGCAAGGAGAAATTCAGCAGATAAAGCTGGTTCCAACACGCTGATAGAGAAATGGTTGTCACATATCTGCTGAAGACACCAGCAGCTGCATGCTGTGTCTTTAGCAAATACATGACAGCTATTTCTCTATCAGCTGCCTGCTGGTTAAACAAAAACAATTATACAAAAAACTACAGGTTTATAAAGCATAATGGGTTGCAAATTTCCTCTGCAGTTTTTACATTAATGGTTTATGCCTGTGGTTTATACATATCACAATCAAGATCACCAAGTCAGAGATCAGAAACTTGAATGTGTCCTATTTGTTTGAGTCCCATGCTCAAAATTACTTCCGTCTGATTTATTTTACATGTTCTGGAGCTGTATCCTGACAATAAAGACCTAGATCTTTGTAGATTCTTTTTATCTCTCTGCATTGCATACATACAAAGGGAAGTGATCATTTGCTCAATGCTCAATTCATCATGTGTATATCTTTTAGCAAACTGGCTTAAGTCAACCCATGCTCACAATGTCAGCTGCATAACAGGCACATTTTCAGAGATTTTGTGAATGTTGTTCTCCATTTTATATAAACAAAAAAACACAACTTACATAATCTAAATGTTTGCATTCTTTCTACAGCCATGCTCATGATTTAAACACACCCACTGAACTGCCAGACCTGATTTCTGTCTACTAGAAGACAAATAAGCATGATGACTTCTTCAAAACGTAAATACAAACCACAGTACAACAAAATATTTACCAAATTACCATGTTGTGATATTAAGGAGCTTTCATCGTGTCTTCTGACTACTCGGTGTTCATGGATGTGCTCTGCTAGTCTTCTGCCTGCCTGTCTTCTAGACAGTCTTCTTCCAGACAGGCAGAAGAGTAGCAGAGCGCATCCATGAACACCAACTATCAGTCAGAAGACACGATGAAAGCTCCTTAATCTCACAACACATGGACAGACTCAACTCTCAGCATCCTAGACCAAGCTAAATCCAAAAACACTAGGGAATTCCTGGAAGCTTGGCATTCAGACAAATCACCACAAATCACCCATCAATAGAC